TGTTCTTTTACAAGTATATCTCAGTACAGTCTTAATTATGAAGCTTTGACATCTTTATAATGGCAATACTGTGTTTTCAAAGGCATGTAATATATTAAGAAAAGGTATTATTAATGGTAAGCTTAATTCTGAGAAGACAACTCTGACGACATGGCACAATTAATCTTGACTCAAACAACCTCCAAATATGTCTGTAAACTCACTTGGCCTTGCCCGCAGGATGTTCAATTTCTAGAAGAAATAACCAGAATAAAAAAATCTTTTTTTCTAATTACTGAGGGGCAGTTAAGCGCTTTATAGACCACCCAGGAAGAGAAAGGCATTTCAAACATCACCTTTTGAATAATAACAATTTTATAACTCCTGCTTTACCCCAAGGTAATGAGGACATCACAAAATAAACATGCAAAACCCACCAACGTGTTTACGTCATATCTTAATGCTCATTGAAAGTACATACCATTAGAGCTATCTTGAATAAAATGCAGTGAAACAATGGATTTAAAAATACTGCTTATTTATTTGAATTCATTGAATGTATTACTCATGTAACTCTTGGTAATAGTTAACATTATTCATCAAAAACCACAGGCAAAGTGATTTGGTTCTTATATACACTGCTGGATATGACCAAGCAAGAAATTATTTGCTAAATAGTGTCACATGAAACTGCAACACTGAAATGTGACATACTAAACTGAAATGGATGCCTGTTTCAAAAAACACTCCTAAGAGTGTGGTGAGAACAGCCATTCTGCCAAATTGATGTCAGGTCTTCTATATTATAAGTGATAAAAAAGCCAGGGTCCAGATGCCACACCATGTCACCTTTCCTGAACCCCACACGATAACCTTGGAAAAAGGAGTACGGCCATTGTGTTGAGGTGCAGTAAGATAAGCTGCACTTACACGAACAGCATTTTTCAGTTTGTTTTGTGTACAATATCAACAGGTTAGAAAATGAGTACTGCTCCATCCATCCATCCATCCATCCATCCATCCATCCATCCATCCATCCCCTGGACCCTGGAGTCTTCCTCCCCGCATGTTTCCTCAGTATCTGGTGCACAGGTTAATCTGATCCTTGTAGAAAGCCACCTTTCAGGACTACACTTCATCATGTAACTTGTTAAAACCAGTTACAGTTCTCCTGTCTACCATATGATCCTAATTCCAAAGGCATTTTGGGAACCATGGAAAAACACACGGCAGCATACCTCTGATGTGCTTGACATGTACTCTTGTTAGCAGTGCTATCCCCTATCAACTATGACCAATGACTACACTTTCTTCTTATGTCTGAACACCCAAACATCCTGTACTTCCTTGGTTAAGTGGTAAATCTTTGCATACATCCATACAAAGCAGCACAAAGAGTCAAAGGGAGCTCACTGTCAGAGGGCAACTATCACCCCCAGGTCCTTCCCATGATCCTTAACTGGGTCACCTCAAAAGCATGGAGCCAACTGAACAGCTCACAGGCTCTCTGGTAAGGCAAGACCATATCCTTGGTTTGTTCAGAAGATGCCCTGAAGAAAGATTCCTGTGGCATCTGTGGATACCACCTCGATTAGAAAGGTGTTAATCTGAAATGGCTGTAACTACACTTAGCAGGAAACTTGGATTTTCCAGTTGTAACTTCCAGGTGAAGCCCAACAGTGTTAGCAGCTCTCATTCTTAACTGAGACATGGACAATTCCCTCTGCTATGGTTATCTTATATTAGGTAGTACTTCATGTGAGCAGTTCAGTGTGTCTCTTCATTTAAGTTACTTCGAAATTCACTCCACTGAAGTGGCTAAAAGCAATGTCAATGACAAGTGGGTATAAGAACAAAAAACAATATAAAACAATGTGCAATTATATGCTGTTCTATTGAAGGCCAATGCTACTAAATATAGAGATTAATACTGAAGAAAATAAGATCAGTGTGAAATAACATACAACCTTAAGGTATTGGTCATTCATTTCTGGGTACCTTTATCAAAGAATCAATTAACATTTAATCTTCTTAAAAGGTGCACAGTCTACTGTTGTTACATACAAAGTATTCATGTTTCAGACCGAGATCATCATCTGGCCTTTGGCTAGATGTCTTAGACCTTCTTGACTATTTACACTGCAAATTTTTCAAGAGAGTGAATTTAACTCTGTGTGTAGTTCTAGGTAGGGAGCTGACTGGATGGCACTTTAAATCAATGGCTGCAAGTGCTTAGCACGTAACAGGATTGCTCCTGAAAGGCCCAGGTAAGACCTGTGCCCACATTAACATGAGTTTAAGTACTGACAAATGGAAACAGTTAGGACCCAAACATTTATTACCAGAAATACATCAAGCTAACCAGCTTACTAATACATAGAACCAACTATCACTTTCAAAACTGAATTTTATTGTACTTGCTAGCATAACTTTCAGTCAAGTATAGCTCAATTATTTAGTTGCTTATTTTACCAAAACTTCTATTTGCATGCATTAAAAAAAAAAAAAAAAAAAAAAAAAAAAAAAAAAATAGAAAAGTCTTCTTTCCTATCTAATGATTTTTCAGGAACTTTGAGTTGTGATATGCTCTCTCTTCCTCCATTTTCACTTATACAAAACTAGTAGGAATTACTGACAGATATGTTGGTCACATCACTATTATTATGTAACAGGACTTGCATGCAGCTTCTCATAGGTCTAGAGATACAGATGAAAATCAACTGGCTAGGTTTTAAACGTTATCCCATTTTATCTGGATCTAGAAGAGAGCTGGAATTAAAAAAAAAAATCATCAAACCCTCTGCGGAACATTGTCTTCATCATTAATGAAAATTCTCCACTTTTTCAGATGCTTTTCAAAATCACTCAGCTGAAGACATGCAAAGAAAAAGTTTGCTAAACTAGATTCTGTCAGTTTATGAAGCTAATCCTTGCAAACATATTATTCGTTACTATTTCATTAAGATTTTTAGAAAATGTGCTCCAGTTCATCTCTCAACAAAGCTTATGAACCGCAGAGAACTAAACTCTAACATGGCTCAGTTGTTTGCTGACATTTTTATAGCAGTTCAAATATTTAGCAGTTTACTTCTAAACTTCTTTGCCACAAACAAAATAATCAGAAAATAGTCCCCTCTGTGCTGCTTGAATACCTTGGTTAAAATAAGGTGCACATGCAAACTGCAATCCAACTTTTTTATGAAAAAGTGATTGAGTCTGATGAAACATAAAAAACTGGAGTGTAAGACAAATCTGAACTGCCTACTCCTCTTGAAAGCACAATACAGTTTATTCTATATAGCTTTTTAAAACAACTATTAAGACCTGTGTGGCTCTTATTCATGATTCTAAAGCAGTACTATGTAGAGTTGTTTGAAGTGCCATCACCAGCAGGATTTAAACATTGCCACTTGAATTTCTAAGTAAATTTGGCTGGCACTCACTATAAATGATAATGAAGACCTATGGTGAAGTCCATGCTTTTGAGGGGTTAATTGGGATTTTGCCATTTATCTTAACAGGACCAACATCTGTCCAAGATTTACGAAGTTTGCATACTCTAATACATGCCAGTAGATACAGAAACACAGTATTTTAGTTCATTCAGAGCTATTTTGTGTCAGCTAGCATATGACAGCTATAGTAAGCATCAGAGTGGTAGCTTAGCAAAAGTTGCCTACCAGCAAAGGTTATCATCTGTCTGAAGAAATTACAATGAAGTATTAGCTCTCCTGTATTTAATTTACCTACTTGACAATTATGCCTAGGATTCTGAGAGGTAAATTAAATTCCCTCTTCAGCTCCAACACCACCTGCAGTTTGAGCTGTTGGCAGCAAAGAAATGTCATCCTGGTCAGCCCTGATACACTCAGCCCTAAAGCAGCATAGGGACCCTTTCACTGACCAAACACAAAGGTTCCCCCCACAATATCATCCTTCAACCACTGAAGGGAAAAAGGACCAGAAGCAAGACCTTAATTTCATTCAGTGCCTATAAAAAAGCAAAGGCATTATATTGCGATGTCTTGTTTAACTAATTCTAAACTCCCTCTAATCAGATGACTTAACTCTAAAGTGCACAGTCCTGAGAAGAATATCACACACTGCATTATCCTTATGAAGTTCAAGGGTTGCCAGTGTATGTAAAAGCTTGGCAGGAAGACTTCTCTTAGATATCGACAATATTGACTTCAAGAGGTCTTAGGATACACATCTTTCTATTTGCTCTTTTTATGAATGATATTTTCATTCATCATTTCAGCTACAATTGCCATTCTGTTACTAAAATAAACCAGAAGTTTTTCTTTCCTTTGCAAATTGTCAACTACATTAGCCTTGTCAAAAAAACCTGTAAGAATGAAATCAATATAGCAATTTGAAGACAAAATTGGCAGGCACTATATTGTACTTGGACACATTCAGTAAATAGCCTCATACATCAATCTACCCGTCATCAATGGCAATATTCTGAAATCTACTAATGTTGTTTATTACATTTGCCGCGTGAAACGCCAAAATAAGTACAGATATCGGTCCAGCAGATGAAAAATAACACGGAGGTAATATCTGACGTGCCTGAGAAGCACGAACTAGTGACTCAGGTGTCATTTAAAGGCGCTGTACTTCCAGCACGGAGAGTGGCTGCTCTATAACCGATACGCTACCGGCAGTGACCTGCTCGCCGGCGCAGAAGCCGCAGCGGAAACTCCGGGATCCACCGTGCCCCGTCCCCGCTCTGCGCCCCGACCGCCAGCTCCAGTCCCTCGCCCCTTCCCACGGGGGGCACCGCACACGCCGCCGCAGCGGGTCGGAGCTCCTACAACCCACTCCGTCTTCCCCCTCTATTTTTGGGTGCACTGCCAGACACAGGCTGTGTTATTCAGAGGCTCCCGGTACCCCGCTCCCCGCCTGCCCCGCGGGTTCGCTGGACCCCGGCGCCTCTCCCGCCCCGCCTGCCCTGTGGCCGCTCTCCCGGGGGCGGCGGGTGAGGAAGGGCAGGCGGCGAAGTTGCCGGGACTTACGGTGGCAGCGCTACCGACGCTGGCGCGGCACCTCTCCCGTCCTCCCGTCACCTCGGGCCACCTCCGCGGCGGCTCCGCGCCCGCACCGGAGCAGCCCGGCCGCCCCTTCACTCCTCGGAGGGGCGCATTGCGCTGTCCGCTCCCCGACACCCGCCCGGTGGGTCCCCGCGTCCCGGAGGGGGCGGACAGGCACTAGCCAGGGTCGAGCCCCTCCGGCGGGGCTGCGCCTCGGGAAGCATCTGCCGCCTCTCCCCCGCGACGCACCCACTCCCCGCTCCACCCCGGGCGCGGCGGGGCTTCGCGCCGACGTCGGTGCGGGGCGGCCGGCGGCTCCCGGCGCTGCTGCCGGCGGGGCGGCCGTGCCGGAGCCGGCGCTGCGGGGGCGGCGGGGAGCGGGGCCGAGCGGCGCTCCCGACACAGCGCCTGAGGAACGGGGGGTCCTGCTGCGTGGGGCCGAGACGCCCGGCTCGGGGACAGGGACGCGTCCACCATGCCCTCGTCCCCGCGGGGGAGGCGGGGACGGCAGCCCGGCCGACTGCTCTTTGTACCGGAGGTCCCTTCCGTGCCGGGCCGGGAGCTCCCGGTCCGCCGTCGGCCGGGCTCCAACCGCAGCGAGGGTGCGTCGCCCTGCAGGAGCTCCGACCCTGAGATGTCAGAGGCCCGGCCGGCGACCTCCTTCTCCTCTTGGAGGAGAAGGTCCTCAGATCCGAGCCAGCGTTGAGCTTCTATCGCGGGCATCTTTTGGAAAGAAAAGCCGGGGGAATGTCGGGCGTGGAGCGTGGGACCCCCTGCGATCCGGCACCTGGGCGGGTGGGGCGCTGCCCCCGCAGCCGATCGAGGGTTGCTGGGGCCCCGGCCGCCCGGGGATGCTGTCCCGCGTCCTCCCGTCTGCCCCGTCTCCTCTGATGCTCTTCTAGCTCGCATGAACCATCTACCTACCTACCGTCCACCAAGCTGGGGAGGATGAACGAGAGGTGGCCGCAGCATTCATCCGACGGCAGAGTCATCTAAATTCCCGTTTCTGCTCCGGAAGTCATGTAAACGTTTTAAACTAGCTACCTCTAAGACCTGGTTCCAAGCACCTCTGGCACCTCTGGTCTCCTCAGAAAAGCAGACCCCAGCTACACGGGTATGCAGGAGCAATTAAGCCAACACCCCCCACCTCGCGGAAGAGAGTAGAGTGATGGTGCATGAAGAAGTGCAGGGGAGGACTTTGCTGCTATGACTGCTGCAAGCTGCCCAATATTTAAATATCCAGAGAGCCACCGTGAGGGTGGGAGCCGGAGCGAGCGCACGGTGATTCACCTCAGCACTCCTGACAATCATGTTAGTGCGGATAGCAGGTAGTGGGGTGTCTTCCCAGCAGGTGGAGTCAGGAGGCAAACAAACTTGCTCAAAAGGTACCACTGATGACAGCTTTTGTCTTCCGTTTTTCTGTGTGAAGGATGTTTCTGCCATCAAATATAGTGAACTCTGGCTTTAAAGTCGCCCGGCTTGCTTCTGAATGGAAAGTTAGCTCTTACTGAAGCGGTTCTCAGGTGTTTTTCTTCCATCCGCCACTTTCTCTTACAGACTACAGCCAAATTTTACAGCTTGCTTTTCTTACAGAAACCTGCATACAGAAGCAGCCTTTTTGCAGCTCAAGCCATTCTGAGAAGGGTGGGAGGGACAGGAACAAGGGGGCTTAGTGCTCAGAAGGAGATGCTGGGCTTAGCATGCACCAAGGTCCAAGAAAAAGGAACTTCTTGCCATTTTTCCCGTAGCTGATAAAAGAGTTCCTCCAGATAATACTATCAAAGAAAAATTGTCCTCCTTGATGTTAGGGTGGGGTGGGGGCAACCATATTAAGAGTTGAGACACTCAAAGAATACTGATGTGATTTGTGTTATCCCTTTAGGATTTAAACTTTCACTGTTGGTTTTATCCTTTACTCTTGTGGAGACAGCAAAGAGGAACAGTGGAAGCTGCTTTTATGAGCTCTCATAGTGCCACAAATGCTTCATTCTCCACAGCATTCTCTGGTAGGAACAGTGGCATCAGGGGAGGTTCTCATTAGCTGCACTAGGTCTGGCACCACAGAGCAGCACCCCTATGGATTCACTGCTGTCGTGTCCCTCTCGTGCTACAGCTGCCCCGAGGTGGGCTTGGGTGAGTCACAGTTCTAAATGCTTCAGATGTTTGTGGAAGAGGAACTGCTGAGGAGCAAAACCTTATGCTGAAGCCTAGGGAAAGCGGGAAGCTCCCCCCTCCTGACACTGCAGCAGTAAATTGAAAGAGGTAAAATAGAGAGCTAGTTTCTCCCAAGGTCCACCAATTTAGGCTATTTTTGTATGTTGTCCAGCTAATACTGTTCATTCTATGATTGGAACGCATCACATTTTCACTGACGGGTTTTATATTTATTTCAAAACGGATTGCATGTTGCTCTGTTTTCTTAGTGAATATATTCATCTGTTTAAGTATAAATCTGCCATCCCATAATCTGAAAATAGCTTTCCTAAGGTTTGGGTGGGTTTTTTTTATAAACTCTCATTTTGTTAACCATTACCTTGACACGGAAGCAGCACTTTCTCATTTGTTCTGCTATAAGCAATTCCCCTGTGTCCCATGGGACTGCAAGTACTTACCTCTTAGAATGTGTGTGAAATACTGATCCGATCCATAAATAACTACTGGAAATTATTAACTATACCTCAATGGTTTTATTTCCACTTCTGCTCAGGAGTCTTTACAACACTGAATTCTGCAGAGAAGAGGCTGAGCTTATGTTTTATGTCGTGATATTATAATTTTGCTTTGTACGTGAAAAATGAAGAAGGTCCAAACCTTTCAGAACCTCAGTGATTTTATTCTGTTGTGTGGGAAAACAGTTTTCCACACAGTATGTAAGGTTTTCCAGTTGTGTACTTTGTCTCATTTACACCATCTTTTATTCTGTAAATATATTTTGTTTGCCCTTAATGGTACTAGAAGTAAAGATGCCATTTATGACAGGCACTGTCCTAATTTTCTTGGACAGGTGCAGAATTTGAAAGAAAAATTCCCAGCTGGACCTATGAATTGTGTAGAGATATTTCCAAAATATTTTGCAGATGCCTGCATTGCAAACTGTTTGGAGACAAGCTATTTCCTGTCCTTATTTATATATCTTTTTTGCTTGGCATGATGTACCCCATAGGAATTACCCAGAGCACAGTATTATCAAAGAAGAGGCCATTCGCATTTAGTTTGTTTGAAGCATGGGAAGTGTGAGCATTGAGCTGTCTACAGAAGACTGTGGAGGCGTGCTGTATCTTTTGATAAAAGGATTGTGAATAATGCATTTGAGTAAGGGCTACATTCACAACTTGGATAAAATGATGGAATTAGTAAAACGTGGCATTTAAACAAAAAGGATAATACATTCATCCTAATCCAGTTAGGGTCAAGAGAATGGGAATTTGCCATTAGCTTTAGCGTAAGTTATGTCAGTCCCTATAAGGCTTCCATATGAATATTTAATTCTTTTACATATAACTTGGTAATCTGCACTCCTGGAAGTGACCTGACTGAAAACTCTGAGAATAGTTACAGCACTGTCAGCAGCAATGCAGACTTCCAAAGCTTGCCTGCTGGAAAGCACATCAGCTCTGTGACGGGGAAATTCATGGAGTGACTATAGCTGCTGTTCAGACCAAGCATCCCTAATGAGATAATTTTTCTTTTAATTTTCAGAAAAAGAGGTCACTCCAGAGTCAGGGGTTTGCAGAGTGACAGGTAAACATATTTAAGAAGCTACTGCCAGTTGCAGAAGTCCATTCCAAACATGAAAGGCAACACCAGGAGAAGTATAGAAATGCTCAGGTGGCTGGAACACATACAAAGAGTTTAGGCTAGGATTATTAGAGGAATAGAACAGTATTTTATTTCTAATCCCAGAAGCTATCAAATTATTCAAGAACTGCCTTTTAAAGACAGCTCTTTCCAAAATTAATGATTGTGTTTAATTTTTTGTTAGCTTTGTTTTGTAGAAACCTGAAAAATCAGGACTTGTGTGTTTATCCAACATCAGGTATCTCATTAGAATGATGTACATATTTTTTTTAATGCCACAATAAATCTATCTCTTTAAATCAGTTGTTTAATGAACAATAATCTCAGTAATTTTCTTAATGTACAAAAAAGGCATGGGTAATTACATTTTTCTCTTTGCTTAAATTTCTATTTTTAATTTATGTTATGTTATTTAATCTCCCCAAGTATTGATTCTTCTGTTCACACTTCAGGACATTCTAAGAGGATCTCCAAAACATTTTGAAGTGAAGGAAAAACTCTGACATATGCCTCTAAAAGATAAATTGTTGGATTGTAGAGGTTTTTTAAAGAACAATACAGTCAGTCAGTAATTCGGAGACACAAAAAGCAAAGAAATAGAAAATGAAAAATACAAAAAATTACTTGTATCCAAGTTTTCAAAGAATAAATAAAAATGAATAGAGACATTCCAGTTGTTACTATTTATGCCACATTCAATTTTCTCTAGAAGAGATTATTTTAATTTAGCAGTACATATTTTCATTAGTACAGTGCTCAGTAATTATCCATATTGGTAGCAGAAACACAGTGGGCTTTGCTTGTGCTGAGTAAAGGAGGGAAAGGGAAAGCAAACAAGATAATAAAAATCTGGGGAATGTTTCCAAAGTGTGGGCATCTGATTCCCTCAGAATGAGCAAGTATTTTCTATCTTCACTTGGAATTCAACACCCTAGGCTTCATTAAGCCAGTGTGTAGTTGTACATGATTCTAGAGAGAACCTCAGCCAAGCAAAAAAAATAAAAGCGCTTCAGGAGAATTAAATGCACTGGCAGTTACAACAAATGTCCTCTCTGGTGCTTGTACAGTATATAAATCACAAAATATTCCAGATTATACAAATTTTCCCTGGAAACTCTTTCAAGAGCCTTATGAGATGTCTACAAACCACCAGCAGGCATATTTAATAAATCATACATACTTATGAAGTCCCATCAATGTAAGTTTCACCTTAATTCAAAAATGTAATTTAAA